TGGCTGAAAAGAAAGGGTTAGACTCCCGTTGCTAGATCCCCTGCATTGGCTGTACTGCTTTCTCAGTGTTTTTAAAAATTGGTCCATGGCAACTGTTTGAAAAGATGGGTTTACTCTGCATGCAGGCAACAGGCATGTGACAAAGCTGCATGACTCTGTTGAGAAAGGTTTAAAGTAAAGAGACTGGTGCCAAGTATAAGGAATCACTACAGGTGATATTTACATCAAGTCATAAAGGAAAGTTTCTGACGCTGTTCTGATGTTCACAGACCATCTCCATCATGGAAGTGAGCTGAGGTGGTGGTTGGGGCCAAGACTAGGGTTGGTCTCTGTATTTTTCCAAGTTTCTCACCCTAGGCAGTAATTGAGTGGTGATGTAACTGTGACATGAGATGATTTTTCTCCACTGCCTAACTGCTCATTTGCCTCTTGATGCTGTATCAGTGGGTGGGAAGAGTGCAGTGGTTTCTCAATACTTAGCAAACATTTTCCTGCTTGTTTTGTAAAAATACAGTCTTTACTCAGATTAGGTATTTAAATGCAATCTCTCTTTGGTGTTTAAATTTAAAAATTGGAAACAAATTTTTAAGGTGATAAGCAGACTTAGTACATTTGGAAAGGGAGGGCAATTCATTTCCTTTTGTCTTTCTTTGGCCAAATGCAGATGTTTCTGAAAGATGTGCCAGGGATTAAGAAGCAGAAAAAGGCAACAGAGACACAGGGCAGTCACGGATTAGACCTACTTCCCACCGCTTCTCTGAGGGCTAGTTATTTCTCAGCAAAATAAAGCCAATTGTTGGAGATATTCCCAATTCACAAGCAAGCCACTAACTTAAAAAAAGTCATTAGCAAATCTATGTAACATACAGAGTCCCTGAGAACACAGGAATGTTTTAATCTCATGCATACATTTATCATAACTCGGATGTCTCCAAGAAGGTTCAGACTATCAAATTGTCTACAGTATTATTGATGGCAGCCAAACCTGTTTCTTAGAGTTTTAGATGGAAATAAAATAGGCAATATTTTCTTGAAAATTGTACCACCACAGTTTTCATGAAAACTTAGCAATAAAATTAAGCCCTCCCAGTATTTCTAATAGTGTCTCAAGTAAGACCCAATATGTAATGAAGCAGTGATTACGTAGGCTCTAATATCGTGGATAAACATTACTGCCCCCTACTGTACCCACTCTTCATTATAACAGCACCCCTTGTTCTCATTTACCAATTAGCTCACAAGGCTGGTTTCCCTGTAAGATCTTAAAAGGAAAATGCTAGGACAAGACAACCAGTATATGTGAAAGATAGGGGTTGGTTTAGTGAGAATAAGCTGAATAAACAACAGCTAGTGGTGGTTTAATGATTAGGGATTTGTGGAAGACCTGGGTGGGGGATCCATTCCTTCCCTCACAATATGCCAAAATATATAGCTAGAAAAAAAAATCAACTGATAATGGGATCCTGCTAGAACAGTGCTGTATTTCAAAGGAAAATTGAAAATCTCATCCTTTAAATCCACCAGAAATTGACCTTGATAAGGATATTTTTTTCAATAGCTGTTTTCAATATTCCCTAAAAGGCAGAGGGTAATTGGAAAAGTCTGAATGGAGTCCTAGTGGATCTTAAAAACTTTTTGTCAAAAATGCTTGCTAAATGAAAGAAGAAAAATGAATTTCTGCTTGTTTTCCGAGGGACACATATGACTAATTTTATTCTCTGCAGTTTTGAACAATTTTCAATTCAGATCTTCAGTTAAAAAGGAAAAAAAAAGATCAGTCTGAGCTTTATTCTATGTCTCACCCCCTTTTTCCATTTATAAATGAGATCTGGTAAAAAGGAACACTCTCTTGACATGTGCTTTTAAGGCAATCTTAGACTCCAAAAATACAATTCACGTTATTTGACACATCATCTATTTCTATATTGATATTTGTATCTCTGTGCTGTAGGGAAAGATGAGACCAAGGAGTTAATGCTGAAACCATGTCTGATTCTCACAGAAATGATCTTTAAATTAGTATTTAATTTTTTTTAACTTTTGCACTGGTTGAAATGGCAAATTGGTAGAAAGAAGATTGAAAGCACTTCCGATTGCCATCTATGAAAATACCAGTGTTTCTGGTGTATTTTAACTACTGGAGGTCTATCTGGACCTTATCATTCACTTGGGCTAAACTCAAGTTTAATATTCTACCTGAAGTTCCAATTATTTTAAATATTAAAATCAACTCCAAAATATATTTCAATACCAAAATGGAATTCGACACACAGAATTGTCAAGGTAGTAAGTTGTGAAATTTTGGAACTTCATGGCTTAAAAAAAATGGAAAGGAACTATTGAGGGCATTTTTATGACATGTCTAATGTATTCTAGAAAAACTCAATAATATGGGAAAGGATGCCAAAGCTTACTTTTCTGTTTGCCAAATTAAAAAGTTATATATGTCCAGCTTTGATTTTCATATGAAAGCTAAGAATACAAGTTTTAATTGTTGTTTCTGGGAACTGAGAATCTATCGTCCTTAAGGGTAATGATTTTCAAATATCTTAGAGAAGGCATAGTCTGAGATGAAATTTTAACACATTTGCTTTGTGTCAGTTTCTCATTTTAAAATCTATGCCTGTCAACAACATCAATAATTCTTACCCAAATTATTTTTTTTCCATACCACCCAATTACATGAGTACTAGAATGTAAAATCTTTTAATATTTCTTTCTTGAAGTATTTTTCAAGTTTAATGTTTAGATGAGTATAGCTTAAGGTACAGAAAAGTAGAGAAATTTTTTTTAAACTAGCTATCTGAATTGTATCATTTTTGTCTGAAATATTTATATAATTTAGTTTGCTTTTTTTGGTAAATGTTTTGAAAAGGTTTTTTTTTTTTATATTATTAATAGACTATTCCTTCCATTTGGAAAGAATGGAGTCTTCACATTTCAGGGTGGGTAACTGCAAACCGAGATTTACATTTTTAAGAAGGATTTATCTATTGTCCTAATATTGAGCTTCAACAGGTTAATATAAAGTTCTGTAAATTAAAGGGTGGGTTATTTTTAACTTCAGAATATATAGGAAAGAGATCTGAAAAATCTTGGCTAGATCCTCTAGGTGAAAAAACAATTTCTAGTACAGGGCCCTGTAATCATTCTAGTAAATTTATTCTGCTCTCTCCCCAAATCTCTTGAACTTGGCTAGATAGAGCTGATGCTATAGTTATCAAATCCAGAAGACTGGGTTGTTCATTAACTGTCATAAATGACTCCATAACAATGAACTTAGCTAAAATCTCTCTTGGTGTGCTTGATTAGTAATATGATTTTTTTCAACCATTTGTATATTAGTAATATAATACCCCCAGAGAGGCATTTGACCCACTCATATTTTCTTGGAGGTATGGAAACTATATATTATGCTTTTTTGTATTGATTACCTATATCACCTTTGTAGAAACTTTCCTGGGATTTGGGCTCTGTGTGTGTGTGTGTGTGTGTGTGTTTTCTTACTCCCAACCCATATCTACACATATTGATAGAATCAAAGGCTAGGTATATGGTCAGTGAAGCAAGAAAAATGGGATTTAAAGAGGAATAAAACCAACAACATGGCTATCGTGTGGTGGTGTAGGGCATCATCTATGCAAAACATGTATAGAGATATATAATCTCATGACTTTTCTATGTGGGGTAATATTACAATTGATTTTTCCTATGTCAAATTTCCTATGTCAAGCTCCTATGCCCAGCGCACTTTTAGCATGAGCCTTTTTTCCCATTGCTGAGAGGTGATAATGACCCAGGGGTAATGCATAGGGTGGCAGTAGCCATGGCAGGACTACAGAGGTTGGATTTAGGGAAAACAAAGATAAGGATGACATATTCCCAAGGGGACATCTCTCTGAACCTTTATAAATGTTTACTACTGCATGATTCTAAAGAGTATGAGCAGTTCAAGCAGCTATGACATACTGCACTGATGATAAACTAATTCAGATTAGCAACTTTTCCTATAAAGGCAAGTAAGTCAAAAACAATTAATACAATGACCATGGTTTTAAATGTCCCTTAGGAGATTGGATCAGAGGATCTTCGACAAAACTGAACATTGGGAAAACCCTCTGAGTGCATCTTTTTGGACATCTTAGTGGGCAGAGTAAAAAAACAAAAAACAAAACAAAAAACACAGAAACTAAATACTTACCATTTCTTGTGGGCTGGTAAGCTGAAATGCTCTCTCCTTTGGGGTTCCAAACTCTTAGTTCTTCTACAGAAAAGATATTCCCTGCTTTGGGAAATGATTAACCACGACCTGGTTAAGCTCCAAAAATGAATTATGTGCTACAATTGTTTCCTCTTCCTGTACTATCCTTGTACGTCACTGTCAAGACTGCCTAACACTTGAAATTTTCTGGCTGGAAGACAATGTGGTGTAGATGTGATTAGAACATAATGGTTGAAAAGAGAAGCACAAATGAAATCCATTAATAAAAATTGGAAGGTGGATCTGAATGAAAGCTAATGAAATCACTCTTAGTAGTGTCTTTCTTTGTAAAGTAAATATAATTTTGTATGTCTCTTCCACATAATGCATTCATCTATCAATTGAAATCCTTAACTTCACCAACAGCTGGAATGCCTTGGCCAACTAAAATGATGACTACAACTAAGGTCAAATGCCAATGTACATGCTGACAATGTACATTGTCAATCAGAAAATGGCCAAATGTTCTTAAAGTTGTGAAACTATACTCAAAACTTGCTCTGGATGTAACTGCCTAAGGTCAGAGATAGAAAACCAGAATCAAAAAGAGAGACTCTACATCTTGAGTCAGGAAACACTGAGATGTCTTCTAGGGGCTGATTTAAATTCTTCAGTAGGGGAAATTTGCCACTATTAGAGAATGGAGGCCTTCCTCACCTACCAGAGGAAACTTATTTTTCAATTGCTTCTATTAAGTGCTTAGATGTATGCAACCAATCAATCTCATTTATTTTGACAGGTTGGAATTAAGGGCACTGGGCCGTGCAACCACCAACGGATCGAGCTTCTTGTGGAGAAGTCAGGGTAGGTGGTGAACTTTTATGCATAGTGAGTCCACTGGGGAAAAGATGCTACATTCAGGACTCTCATTGTGATGAGAGCCACTTATAGATCTTCAGGGTTGTGTAAAACAACAACATATTTTATATTTGAAAATTAAAAATTGGTGTTTTTACTGTGAATCACAGAAAGTAAGGAGATGTGTGTGTGTGTGTGTGTGTGTGTGTGTGTGTGTGTAATTTTCACAGGTGGAAAGTTTGTATGAGAACCTTTGAAATAAAATTAGCTACTAGGAGGTTGAAGATTATTGGGTCACTGAATTTTGAAGTAAAGACTGTTTAACAGTCAAGTCTATTATGGTCATCAGATTACTCTTGTTGCTAGTTAAAGTTTTGTTGATTGGTTTGATATATTCTGCATGCTGAAAGATGGTTAGATGTGTATCGATTTATGGGTTCATGTTCTTGGATGCAGAAAGATATAAAGCAGTACTAAAAGATGTAAAAATAATAATGAAATGGAGAAACATTGAAGTTTATCTTAATGTTGCAGATATGCACATGTTCTCTTTCTTGGGACATTAGAAAGGAAACATTACATGACAATAGGGTTGACGTTCACAAAAGTTGAATACTTGATACCTGTTTTTTCTTTCTTGTGGATGAGGATACCAATTGCAAAATAATCTCTTTTGGCCTTTATTTCTTCAAAACATCAAAATGAAAAATAATGAAGTAGATGACAATGAGAAGAAAGAAAACACTCCATACAGAATATGCTGTATCACGAGTGATTAAATCAGAAACAATTAGAAATTTTATTTGTCTGTGTCAATAATGTGTACCATATAAGGAACAGCACAATTAGTGCACTTCCCCCCTAAAACTGTGCACAATACACACAAAATAAAGTCATCAAACAAAATGAAATAATTTTACACAACTATAATTATTAACAACCCTGAACAACCAAAATACTTCCCTATAACATGAAAATTTAAAAAGCAAACAAACCAAAAAGCTTTGAAATTAAAATTAACCAACCACAAAAATTTCTTAATGTTCTCTGTGAAAATTTGCTATAAGATTGACATTCCAAATATGGCTAAAAATGAGTGCAAAATCTTTCTAATGTTTAAACCACTCACACCCCTTGATTATATTTATTTGGTGTTTCTAGGCTAACTTTCTGTTAAGTGAATTTTCAAAACAAAGGGGGGGAGGTTAGAATGTATCCCCCAAAGGAGTTAGGCCCCCAGTATTGAGCTGTAGTCAGGTGTGAACCTCTAGGAGACAGGAGGAGTTGTACAGGGATTAGGGCAGAGATTTGTTTCCTAACACAGAAAAATCTGGCATTAATTGGGTCTTCTTTGTGATCTGGAACACCAACATGATTGCCTTTCTTGGTGCAAAATCCTAATCTCCAAAATTGGCCAAGGATGCTTTTCCTAACCTATGCTTTATATTCTGTAAAAGAAAATCTTAAACAGTTGTGTTTGTACATTTTCAATGTGTTCATGATAAAGGATTCATAGTGTGTTTCTTCTTGCAAGATAAAACTGTTTCTATATGGCTGCTGACTTCTAATCATGGACATAGCAGTTGTATTAACCATGAACTCCTTGAGGGTAGGGATCTGGGGCATCTTATTCATGGTTTAGTTCCAAGAGGTAGCACCGTACCTGGCATATTGAGTGGATGACCAGTACTGAATTATTCATCAGTCATCAAATGTTTATTAAATAAGGAATGATCATGTTGACTAAGTGGAAGTGAAAACATTTCAACAGCATTTATTATTTCCTAAGTATTTTTGAATCAGTACAGAGGGCCAGCAGTGTCTCCAGCCTGGCCCAGACACAGGGACAGCTCTGAGAGGTCACCAAAGTCACCACTTTTCCTCATCAGTGGACTCACTACTTTGGAATGTTAGATTCACGCACGCTCTTCAGTACTTTGAAAGAAAAGGAGCTATTCCTTTTACAGGGCTCAGCACTCCTGGTGCGATCCTCCTGGGAGGCACTGATCTTTGCTTTCCATGGCTTACTCTTTAGTTCTAAGTCAAGCGGGGGTTGGGGGGGGAGATGGGGGGATGCACTTGTAAGGGCCTACTGGTCACCATACCTTCTTTTACGCAGGAACTGCAGATACAACCAGAGGGGTTGAATGGTTAAAGAAATAGGGCTCAAAATAGCCTTTACATAAAAAAATAAAACCAACCGCACTATCTACCATCTGTGCCAGACAGAACAGATGTGAAATAAATACTTTAGGGGAAGGGGAGTTGTGGAAATGGAGGCGCTCTAAGCCCTAACATGCCCACTTCTCTATAATGCCTTCCTCCTTGGCCTTTGGACTCCACAGGTGGTTCTCAGAGGCCCATGTGTTCCATGTGGCTACGTTTCCATGAAGGTGCTTTGTAATCTGCCTGCTGTTCCCTCGATAGCTTTAGCTTCCCACATTGCAGTTATTGCTTCTTAGAAACGAATGTGCAGATCCATAAGCCATTTTCTCCTTTTATCCCTAGTAACCAGCAAACTCAATAGCACAAAAGTTACAACACAGGTGAAAGGAAAACTCGCTTATTCTTCAGTGTCCAATCAACATTGCTGAATGGGAGGGCAGTATAGGCGCTACTCTACTATGTACAGATACGCTTGGTTTTGTTTGTTTTTCATCCATGCACTGTGTAACAGGTATCACGACAACATTCCCAAACAGGCACATGGAGGAGGAGCAAATGTTCAGTCATGACTGGAACGGGATTGTGCAAGCCATGGATGCTTCTGTAAATAAAACGGACGAACGATCCCAGGCAACAGCCATATGGGACTGGAACACATATTGATGCAAATGGAAAAGGTAATGTGCTTTTGGAATGGGGTTATTTTTCCGGTTTGCATGAGGGGTGGTGGGCAGGAGAAGCAGCCTGCATGGGGGACCGGTAAGTCAGCCAGGCTAGAACACTGGGGCACAGGGCTTGCTAATCAGTCTAGAAATAGAGAGATGGAAGGGTTTTGCATGTTCTTGGACCTCTAGGCAAATTACTCCTTTATCTGAACAGAGTGCCAGGCAGCACATCTTAAACATCAGATCCTGTCTAGAACCATTGCTTTTCCTGGCCTCGTTCGAGCTCCCGCTTAGAGGCATTTTCTCCTGTACTCATGTTCCAGAGACAAACATGAAATTTAGTAACATAGCGAAGACATACTTTTTTCTTCTTCTGTGCCTGTATCCTTTCTTAATCCAAAATCATGTTTAAAGTGTTTGGGAAAAGGGATTGATCGTCATTGCAATGGCTTGCAATTTTTTTTGAACCGAAAGTTCATTTGCATTTGGAATGGTCATTATCTCCCACAAGAAAAAGCAAAAGCCCAGATCCTCCCAACAAAACAGGACAAAATAAAAGTCTAACATCAACCACCTCCCCAGCCCCCACCAAAAACAAGCCAAAAAACCCCAGAAAACAAAGACTTAATGGTTTGCAAATCTGGAGAGAACACAGCCCTTCCAGGCTGAGCTGCAAAATGGCCCTGCCTCCATGCCTTGGTCAGTGTGACGATGCCCCTGGGGATGGGAGGTGATGGGTCTCACTTCGCCCTAGTACAGAGTATGCTTCTGAAGCTGGGTTCCATCAGCAGGTAAGTGAACATGACAGATGTCAGTTTCCTCTGTTCGTTATACATAATTTTTATGTATATATGTATATATATATAAATTTACTATATCTGATTGTTCCTTTAGAAGCCTTTTATGTGGCAGTAGGCCTCCAGAGAGGAGAAGAAAATGTACAAGAGCCACAGGAGCACAAAGAGGCAGGATGTGAGGAGCTTGGCAGTCCGGGGCCCACCCAGCTCACCTCCGATTTCTGGCCTCCGCCGATACAGCAGCACCCCCACATTGATGAAAGCAAAAATGGTGAAGAGAGTGACAGAGAAAGCTAGCGTGCCGGGGGACACTTTGAACTGTTCCCCGTTGGCCGCGTGGTAGATGGCAGCGATGGACCAGGCCACGCCAATCCCCAGGAAGACGTTCACCGCGTTGCTGCCTGTGACGTTGCCTATGGACGCGTCTGCATACTGGTCCTGGGTGGCTGCCACCTTGCTGGCGAACGTATCTGTGGAGGAAGAAGAAGAAGGCAGTGACCTTCAGCTCACCTGGTGGAGGTGTGGTGTTCTATAGGCTTCAGCTGTGTTCTCTGGAATGAAACCCAGTGGCCAGGAGCAGGCTTGGATGTGCAGGTGAGTCCCCGCCACACTGTCAGAATAAGAGGTTCTGTACACTGGAGCTGAGGGGTCGGTGCTGGCAGTTACTGACTACCTTGTGAACTCAGTCAAGCTCTTTACCCAGAGACACCCCGGTTCTTGTCAGCAGTGTGCTTGCAGGAGGGGTTTTCCAGCAGTGGTCACACCCACCAACAATAGAATCCCTGGTGCCCCCTTCTCAAGACAGATTACATGACTCCGTCTGGCTACATGAGCTCATAATCCTGGGAGCCCAGTGTCCAATGCTGGGGCCCAGAAGTTATTTCAACATCGCAAAGGGCTCTTGTCAACTAAGGGTTGACGATGGCCACTGGAGAGTTTGACTGAAAGACATTGTCGTCAATTCTTGTGTGTAGTTCAGAGAGTTAAGGGGCCAAGAGAGATTTTCTAAGATTCATGAACAAGTTAATAGTGGAATTGGAACTAGTTGAACTATAATAACAGCTGACATTTGCCTAGAGCTGTGTGAATAGGAAAACAGACAGAGAGGGGGGCAGACAGAGACAGAAAGACACAGAGACAGTGGGAGAGGCAGACAGAGAGGCAGAGAGAGAAAGACAAAGAGGCAGACAGAGATAGGAGAGAGACAGGCAGACTTGAGAACAGGAAAACAGCTGTGACAACAACTCTCTTAGGAGAGGGGACTAGAGACGAGGATGCTGGGCTCAGAGACAAGTCGTGGGTGCAACATCACAGTGAAGAGAGAGCGTGTCAGGGTCTGAGTGCAGGTCTCCCGCCTTTGAGGTGACTGCTGCTCATGACGCCTTGGGTACCAAGACCATCTCCCAGCTCTGTCCACCTACACTCCTGAATGCATCTTTACAGGGAGCGGGACAAGAGTGATTGATACTTCCTGATGCGTAAAGTACAGGGAGATTTAGAGCGCTTGGAGCCAGAGGGTTTCAGACCCTGCCTTCCACACGGACGCCCGAGCTGTGAGACAGGCACAGTGCGCCCACCTGAGAGGTAAGCTGAAGTGTCATATAAAATACTCAGGATGCTCCTTGGTACAAAGTAAGAGTAGCTCTTGTTATTTTGGAAAGACAACAAAGTGCTTACTAGATCGCTTAATTGAAAACAAAGGTAGGATCTGAAATAGCTCCCTTTCTTAAGCATCCCTTTCTAACAGAGCTTGCAAGACATTCACATGCTTTTCTACAGGATTTCCTACTTACTGATACCACGTTTTGTCAGCTACCTTTGCAAAACACCTTGCACAGTACATTTGTAGTAGCTGTTAACTGTTAAAGTGAAGCCACATTTGTAAAGCCAGTAAGAGCAGCCACACTATTACCAAGGGGAATCTGTCACGCTGTAGTCCCGTGGTATCTGGTTGCTACCTGAACTAGTTTCTTCTCTCCGCCGCCGTGCTGTTCCTGGCATCCCTGTTTGGAAATTCTCCACAGGGAACCTACATACAGCAAGTAAGTTTAAACCAACTTTGGAGGTTCTTTTGCATCAATGCAGGTGAGCAGAGGATTCAGGCTGCTCAGAGGCTGCTGCACTGGAAACTTCAGTGTTTCTGAAAGGGTGCTGGTCAACCCTGCGGGGCGTCTCATTGATTCTGGCCTCTCTGATGACAGCTGATTTTACTGCCATTTTTAGAATGCAAGAAATGAAGGCTAACCCGGCTTATTTCATGCCCTCCACACTACATCTGTGTCTTCATTCCACCTTCTTAGCCCCATGGAGACGTTATTCCTTTTCTACAGTTTAGGAAACGGATGTTGTGACTTACCTTCCTTGGATAGGATGTGGCCAGAACAGGTTTTTGAATCAAATCTGTTTGATTTTAGACCCCATTCTCACCCCAAACCACATTGTGCGTCCCAGTGTCTTTTCCAGAGGGAGACATAGGGAGACAGAGAGAGAGACAGCAGGAAAGGCAGGCAAAGAGAGATAGGAGAGAGCCAGACAGGCATTGAGAGACACAGAGACAGATAGTGAGACAGGAGAGACAAAAAAGGAAGGCAGAGAGAGTGAGACAGGAGAAAGGAGAGAGACAGGTAGAGTCAGAGACAGAGAGAGACAGGCTGACAGAGAGGCAAACTGAGATAAGACAGGCAGACAGGGCGAGGCAGAGATAGAAAGAGACTCTCAGAGACAGGCAGTCAGAGACAGAAACAGAATGGCAGACAGAGGGAGAGAGGGCCAGGTAGTGAGAGAGACTAGAGATAGGCAGAGAGAGAGGCAGAAGAGAGAGAGACATAGAGACAGGCAGACAGACAGACAGAGAGAGGCAGACAGAGAAACAGGAAATGGAGGGAGAGAGAGACAAAGGGAGTCAGTGATAGAAACAGAATGGCCGGAAGAGACAGTCAGGCAGAGATAGAGACAGAGAGACAGAAGAGAGATGCAGAGACAGAGAGCAAGCTAGAGACAGAGGGAGGCAGAGGTAGAAACAGAATGGCGGAGAGAGACAGGCAGAGAATGACAGACAGAAAAGAGGCACAGAGATGTATAGACAGGCAGACATAGAGAGATAGAGGGGAGACAGGCAATGAGACAGGGAAAGTCAGAAAGACTGAGACAGAGAGAGACAGGAGAGTGAGACAGAGAGGCAGTGAGAGCGAGAGAGGGAGATGCAGAGACAGAAGCTGACAGAAAGGCAGAGACAGGACGCAGAGAAAAGCAGAGAGACAGAAAAAGACAGAATAGAGACAGGCAGTGATAGAAAGGCAGGCAGAGAGACAGATAGGCTGGCAGAGACAGAGGGAGATCAGCGGCAGGCAGAGAGACAGAGGCAGAGATGGAGAGACAGACACAGAGATAGAGGCTGACAGAAAGAGAGACAGAGTCAGTGAGTCAGAGATAGCAGAGACAAAGAGAGGGAGAAGGAGAGAGATAGAGACAGAGAGATAGGCAGGCAGCGACAGAGGGAGATCTGAGAGAGGGGGCAGTGAGGCAAGACAGAAAGAGAGCAAGAGGCAGAGAGACAGGCAGGGACAGAGAAAGGCCGACAGAGAGAAAGAAGAGAGCCAGAGTCAGGGATAGAGAAGAGAGAGCAACACAGAGACAGAGAAAGGCAGGCAGAGACCTACAGAGGCAGTGTGAGAGACAGACGATATACAGAGGCCGACAGAGGGAGGTCAGAGACAGAGGCATATGCAGTGAGAGAGAGAGGCAGAGGCCGACAGAGACAGCAACAGACAGGCAGAGAAAGTCAGACACAGAGATAAACAAAAATAGACTAGGCAGTGAGAGAAAGAGGGAAATGAGAGGCAACGTGATACACAGGCAGAGAGAGAGACAGACAGACAGCAGGGAGAGGCAGACAGAGATGGCAATGAGAGACAGAAGGAGATTGGAGACAGGGAGACAGGCACAGAGACAGAGACAAACAGAGCAAGATAGAGACAGAGAAAGGCAGGCAGAGAGAGAGGGAGATCAGAGACACAGAGAGACAGGCAGAGAGAGACAGAGAAACAAAAATAGGTAGTGAGAGACAGAGAATCAGAGAGACAGACACAGAGAGCGAGATAGAGGCAGAATGAGATACAGAGAAGAGACAGGCAGTGAGAGACAGAAGAGTGGAACAGAGACAGAGCGAGAAAGGCAGGCAGTGAGAGAGAGGGGGCAGAGAGCAAGATACAGAGAGGCAGTTAGAGAGACAGAGGCAGGAACAGAGAGAGGGACAGAGACAGAAGAGACAGGCAGTGAGAGACAGACAAAGGCTGACAGTCAGGGACAGAGAATCAGAGACAGAGAAAGGCAGGCAGAGGCAGTCAGACAGAAGAGGCAGAGAGAGGTAGAGGCTGACAGAGAGGGAGAGACAGATAGCAACAGACAGGCAGAGAAAGTCAGACACAGAGATAAACAAAAATAGACGAGGCAGTGTGAGAGAGGCAGAGACACAGAGAGGCAAAGAAAATTAGAGAGTCAGAGACAAACAGAAAGGCAGGCAGAGACATGCAGAGAGACAGGAAGGCAGGCAGAGACAGAGGGAGATCAGAGACAGAGGCAGAGAAAGTCAAAGAGATAGAGACAGGAGACAAAGGCAGGCAGAGACAAGGAGGTGAGAGGCAGGCAGTGAGAGGCAGAACGAAATACAGAGAGAGGGAGACACAGACAGGTAAGAGGCAGTGAGAGAAAGAGGGGCAGAGGCAGAGAGAGGCAAGACTGAGCAAGATACAGAGAGGCAGTTAGACAGGCAGAGGCAGACAGAGACAAAGGCCAACAGAGAAAAACAGACAACGAGAGAGGCAGAGACCTACAGAGGCAGTGAGAGAGAGATGGGACGTGAGATCAGAGGGAAATCAGAGAGGTGAGAGACAGCAGAAAGAGTCAGAGATAGAGACAGGCAGTGAGAGAGGCAGAGGCTGACAGAGGCAGTGAGAGGCAGAACGAGATACAGAGACCGACAGAGATAGAGGCGAGACAGAGACATGCAGAGTCAGAGATAGCGAGAAAGAGGCACACAGAGTGTCAGAGATCGGAGAAGAGAGAGAATCAGAGACAGAGTAAGATAGAGACTGAAACAGAGAAAGACAGGCAGAGACAGGAGAGACATGGAGATCAGAAGCAGAGAGATAGGCCGTCAGAGACAGAGAGGCCAACAGATAGAGAACCAGAAAGACAGAGATAGGGAGTGTGCGATAGAGAGAACTGCAGACAGACATAGACAGTGAGAGGCAGAGGCAGAAAGAGACAGAGGCAGAGAGAAAGGAAAGCAAAGGCTGAAAGGGGCGTCTTGCTCTTTCCCCTCGGCCCTGGACTGTGTCTTGCGTGCGGTCATGATCACACACCGCATCCTTCAGTCCTATTGCAGAAACTGGGGAGCAAAGGCCAAGCAGGACCCATCTTCATGGTCAATTGCACTTTATTATTATTAAGAGTTATTAGGAGAAGCCACAACATCAAAAAAAAAAAAATAACACAAAAAAACAAAAAACACAACAAACCAAACCTGCTTCGCTGTGCCTCAAGGACAGGCAGCTGAGAGGGGAAAGAAAGTCTCAGGCACCAGGAAGTGGCCCAACTGCCACCAAGGAAAGCCTGAGCTGATGTGGCTGCTGGCGCTGGCTAGCAGATGGCCACATTAGCGGGGGGAGCATTCCCTCCTGCAACCCCAGGTGACCTGGCGCTGTTTCCCAGCACACACCTGTTTACCTGCTGGCATGTGGCACATTGGATTTCTGGGTACCCCATCTCTCTGCTCAGAAAACCTGATTTTCCATATGATAACTCTACTGCTGCTCCAGAAGGGAATGAGGCACCAAAGATTCCTAGGTCTGGAGACCCTGATCCCCAAAACCAATCCTTTTGCCCAAAATACAGGTCACACCTGAGTCTGTGGCAATTTCCTCTCCCTCAAGCCATTTTTCAGTTTCCTCTTCAAATGCCTTCCTCTGGGTGCCAAAGTGACTAGCTTGTCACATAAATGAAAGCCTGTTTGGTGCCTCTTTGAGGCTAGGTTTATTTACCTGGGTTATGTATCAGGGGTTGTGTCTTTTCAATTTTAAAACTACATCAGAAAAATTGTAGAAACATATGCAAATCCCAATCCTTAACCTTAGCTCCAATGGCAACAACTCTTTTCCAAAGTGCGATGGGATCTTCTATCACAGCTTTGCGCCTCAGCCCATAGAGCAACACTCCACACCAGTGTTAGGCACTGCCAAGCCCTTCCCTGGACACTGTCCATAACCAGCTGTGGCTGGACAAAGCAGAAACCATTCAGCCACCATCTCCAAAGTGAAATCAGAGAAAGCACTACCTCTGTAGACTCAGAACTTGCAAGCATATTCAGAGCTTGTCCCATAAATACTAACATATGAATCAGTTTTCCGGTGTAAATCATGGCTCAAAGTGAGACATGCTGACAGTCACACACACACATACACCAGGGCCAAGTTCTAATAGGAATCTTTGCTTTAACTCCCTTCTTGCATCCAAATAAATTTTAGTCTTACAGTCTTAGACTTTTGATCCTTAGTATTTGTGACTGTAAATCAGTAACAGGGAAGATCTGTTTGGTAGGCATGGAGAAGGGGAATTAAACCACATCACAGAACCAGGACATATTACTCTCTACACACCTTTCTCAAGTTCACAGTGTATAACCTTGCCCAAGTCATCTGGTACATACGCAGGGATAGGTCAACTCCTGCCCCTTTTCTTAAGACTATTTCAAATTTCATTGCTACGTACAGACTAAACCTTAAGCATCTCTTCTGTAAATGGATAGCTCTTATAGTCCTGCAAGTAACATAGGCTTTGTATTATCTAGAACAAGGATTTTCATCCCAGTTGACTTATTCTTGACTCTGATTGTCCTGTTGGGGACTAGCTGTTCAATACCGAAGCTCAGGAACTGACAGTGATTTTAACTGGCATCAAGCCTGCTCAGCAAGGCTTGTCTGCTTCCTGCGAGTCACCCACCACATAAGGCAGAGACCAGCATTTTCCCAATGGAGCAACGGGCTAAGCATCATCAAGGAGAGATTCTTGGTTTTTCTAAATATCTGTATGTTTTAGGGCAAGATTCCATCATTCTAGGTTCTGGTTTCCTCATCCGAAATACTGTACAGTAAGTACTCACTTAGCATCATTTTTAGATTCTTGGTAACTGCAACTTCAAGTGACATGATGTATAACTAAAGTGGGTCTTCAAATAACATTATTCCATTCAACATTGTCTGGTATTGGTTTTTTGTTTTTCTTACCAATGTATGAAGAAGCATCTTTGAGCTAAATAATTTGAAAATTGAAACCATTGTATTTAGACTAGACTATCTCTAAGATTCTCCCTCACTTTAATGTTTAGGTGGAGGACAGACTGTCAAGTTACTAAACTCACCAATGGTATGATGTTTCTATTTTTGTAGAGGTTTGCACATGATCACCCTTCATTAGAATCGACTAAAGATAATCTCAGTTTAAAGAATAAGGACCTACATGAAATATTCCAAGATCCTAGGAAGAAAGACCTAGACCTCTAGACCTGAAGATATTGCCATTGATCAAATGAAACCACAGTACAGAGTCATCACCCGCAAAACGAAAAATGGCAGCAAAATAAGTGACTTGAAATCACTCTGGTCAACCATCCATTTCTAGAAATGAAGCCATGGTACAGATGGTGGCAGCAATGCCTGAGTTTCAAACACTCTTACGTCAATCAAGTGTGCCCACTGCTGGCATTGGAAACATTGGGAGAGCCCTTTAGAAACAAGATTTGGGGGCCTCTCCTGGTGGTGCAGCAGTTGAGCACTGGGCTGCAAAGCTGCCCGCAGCCTCTGCAGTGCCGGTTCAATCCCTGGCCACTGGTGAGGGTCCCACATGGTGCACAGACCTCTCCTGCTGCGCCCGCTGCTCCCCTCAGCAGTGTATTTCAGCCCATCTGCCTGTTCTGTTCACCGCTCTGGTGAATTCTCTCACCCTTCCGTGCTTCTGACTGTACCCAGTACTTGTATAAATAAATCTTAAAAAAAATAAAAACAAACAAAAACAAGATTTGGGGCTCTACCCTCAACCCATTTAACCAGAGAATGCAGGAGGATGCATTTAAACAAGTGCCTTAGGTATTTTCTATACCAAGGTTTAATAACTAGCTCTAAGGTATAAAAATGGGGATATTGCTCCAAGTGCTCACAAGTTGGGGGGAGGCTTGCCGGGAGGTATAGATATTTGAGTTTCAGGGAAGCAGCTAAGTGGAGCGAAGGGCAGCTGATTTCTCTGAGAAACGGTGATGCCCTCTGACAAAGACCATCCCACTGCCATGCTTGCTCTGTTGTAGTCTTATTTTTTTCAACCCTATTTCTGGCATGGCTATAGTGAACAACCAAGGGAGGAGGGAAATTTGTAACTTAGTTGAATTCTGGCTCCTCCACTTGCCAGGTAAGACATTTACTTACTTTATAGGTTTCTGAAAGAAATGAGTTAACATGAGCCATACTCAGAATAGGGCCTGGCACATAATGAGTGTTTGATATTATTAGCAATCCCAAGAGATATCATAAGTGGTAAGAAATTCTGACTTAATGATTCTTAATGTTAGTAAGACTTTAAAGGGTATTATAACTCTCCTAACTTTATGATCCCATGCTTTTAAAAATGTGATAGAAAATAAAATTATTCTTAAAATATCTTGGTCTCCAGGACCTAAAGTGAAAGGGGCGGGGCAGGGAATTATTAATGGGTGTAGAGCTTCAACTGCAATTTGGTAAGAAGTGTGGAGACTTTTTGTGAAAATGAAGCACTTAAAAATGATTAGGATGGCAAGTTTTGTTATGTGTTGTTTAGCACAATTTAAACATTTTTAAATGGTTTTGCCTAAAAAATTAGACTCTACCTTAGTGTTTCTATAAGGATTATAATTGATGCAAAATATTTCATTTGTGGACTTAAATATGTTTGTTTTAATAAAAAGTTTGCACAAAATAAAATCCTGAAAATTCCATATAAATTAAGCCATAAAAATGCATTAGAATTTTCTTGCTTAAAGAGCTAATCTTAGGCATGGCTGAAAGGCAAGCATCTTTGCTTAAACAACACACACACTAAAAATATGTATTTTGCATACATGTATATATACTTTTTTTGTATGTGTATTCCCTTCTGTTTTTTACTTTTATGTACTTTATGTCTTGCTCTTTCAGGATTCAGGTGGAATTACTGTTTATGTGCTAATTCTACTGTCACTGAGGAACTTAGACATGTTTTGTCTTTAGTTGTGACATTTCTTGACCTAAGTAAATATGAAAACCACACTCCACTGGTTCATATGAAAAGAATCCTTATTTGGCTTCCAAGTGACATTTAAGAGGTCAGAGGATTACTGGGGTTTGATTGATTAATGACCACTAGGAGAGGAGTTGTAAAAGCTGAAAAAGGGAAAAACACTTAAAATTTCTGCTCATAAAAGTCACTGAAGAGAGTGAAACAGGGAGTCAATGACATGACCTATATTTAGAAGAGAACAGGCTAAGCAAAAAGCTCCAGAAGACTCATGGTGGCAGATCAGAATATCTGTTTCTATTATGCCACACATCAGACTCATCCAGGGAACTTTTCAAGGATAGAAACTTGCTAGTCCCACCCTGAGTTTCTGCTTCCTGATCTGGGATGTGTTTTAAGTGATGGAGGATAAGAATAGAAAAATTGGAAAGGAGGTGCCACAAGACCAGAACCCTGGCTCACATGTTAGCTGGAGATGGGGGAAGAGGAGATTGGCATAACCATTTACCCAGCTATTGGAAAATAAAAATCCTTAGGTGTCAGAATCTAGAACACAAGATACAAGTAGGTGCCAGACTGCTGTAGAGTGTGTCAGGCAGAAGGAGGTAAAGATATGGAGATTGAGGGCCATTGTAAAATTTCTAGTCCTTTTCAAATTCTACAGTTACCAAAATCAACAACAAAGAAACCACTCCACGCAAATGGGCCCCTCCCTCCCTATGAAAGAAGACAATAAAACTTAAGGCTACTCCTTCCAAAGGGCAGCTATCACTGCCCACTTTGTCTATACAAATGTCCTTTTTCCATCTCTTCCTTTCCAAGGTAAACCTGGTCTTTTGGATAACATCTGTTTCGTGGAGAACCTCACCTGGGAAACTTACTCTGTGCCCCTGAATGGGGAGCTCTGGTGAAACTTTTCCCAGAGTTAACCCAGGGAACCCACTCTCCAAACCCAACATCTCCAAAAATGACTTCATAACACCCATAGTTCCCCTAGTCAGACTGACACCCTCTAATCACCCAGAGCCCTCAATTCTCCATTTGTGTGAGGGCATGGGTAGCTTCTCCAGATTAATCAAGGTAAAATAACTCGGACAAGCAGATCAACAAAAAGCAAACTGCCATCAAATAGGAAATTATTTCTCTTCATATGTTAACTCTGGGACACAGTATTCCCATTATGTATCTGAAGTCCTGGTGTATTTCAAATTCAGAAAAAGATTAATTCTAGTTTAAAGAAAAATAATAGGCGGTTATTTTTAAGGATCACAAGGCAGAGAAGAGAATGAGCACAAACCAACAGTGCTGTTGGATTGACTTTCCAAACTGTAGTTTGATAGATGTTTTCAAAAGAAAATAATACTCCACTCCTAAACACATCCGGAATGTATTTTCCAGGATGATGTTCATAAACTCCCCAGGGAGGAACCTAAGGTTCCTCTTCCTTGTTCAAACATCTTGCTTCATACGATTTTCTACAATTTTCTAAAATTGGATTCTAACTCTTTGATGGCAACAAAAACATTTTGAACCTTTCAATGAACTCAGACAGTTTATCTGGGGTGGAATTTATTCCATTCAATGACTTGGTCATTCCCACCCTAGGCCTGGCAAAGCAGCAGTGTCCCAGCCTGGTTGTCTGAGACCTGGGTCAATATGGTTCTGGAGCAGACAAGGTTATGTATGCTCGGGCAGGGTAGGTACTTCCCAGGGAGGATAGAGAAACTGGAAAGGAGGCATCACAAGATCAGAAATCTGACTCACACAATGCCAAGAGCTGGAGGTGGGGGGGTGGGGGTTAACATAGCCATTAACCCAGCTTATAGGAACTAAGATCATTAGGCACCAGTGCCTGGATCACAAAGCACAAGACCCAAGCACGTATCACAATGCTGTAAGGAGTGTCAGGAGCACAGACCTGGAGGTGAAGATATGGAGATTGAAGGCCATTGTAAAATCTCCAGCCCATTTCAAAATCTATATAGTTATTCAACATAAACAAACCATTCCACAAAGTAATGAGTGAAGGAGAATAAGACTATGTCAGTGCAGTCTGTGCCTCCGGCGGGCTGCAGCCTCCTGCCCCAGCCCCCCCATTCCCTGTACCATGCCAGTGCTCTCAGCAGAGGCTGCTGTCCTTAAGGCCTCCCCATTGTGACCATGCAGGCCTCTCTCTTAGCAAACCTGTCTCTTTCAGGGCAGTTCTTCCTGCCTGTTTGTGTCTATGCAAGTGTTCTTTTGTTACAGGATAGGGATTGGGGCATCCCAGAACTCCCAAACCTGCCTGATCTAAATAGGTTCTGCCATCTGCTGCATCAAGACAAAACATAAGACCTTTAATGGAAAGGAACTTTAATACAATTACTGTGTAATACAGAAAAGAAAGAAAATATAGTTTCTAAATTAAGCACACAAAGTTACCCATCCCCTTGTGGGTAAATGTCCAGCCAAACAGGATTAGCCCAAATCAAGGCCTGAAATTCTGCCACAAGTCTAAAGCAACTTCCAGCAAGGGTGTGTGTGTGGGGTGGGGTGGGGGGGTGGGGGGGGCATAGAAAAGGATCAGAAGCAGTCAAACAAGTCTGGGAGGAAAAGAGCAAATTCAAAACCAAGAGGAAAGCTATCATTGTTAACCTCCCCAAGGGTCTCTCACCCACATCTGTTTTAACCAGTCCAGGACCAAGGAGCAAGCGTAGCTTCTTTATAGGTCTCTCTGTTCCTTGTGCCTTCTTCAGGTCACCTTCTGGGTCTCCATCCTGCTTCCTTCCCACTCTAGTCTCCCCTCCAGCAGCTTTTCCTCCCTGCTCAGCACTACCCTCCCCTGGGTGGCTCAGGGAACCTGGAACCTCTCCTTTTCCTGGGGACCACCCTGTTGCACTTTCTTCTTCTCTCCCTTTTATAATAAACCTGCCCTTTTGGTTATAACTAACATCTCTGGGTCGCAGAGAAACTTGCTGGTGCCAGTGAAAGGGGATACCTTTCCAGAATAAGCCCAAGGACCCCAGTCTCCCAACCCAACTGAAAGGGAACTGCTAAGCAAATGAAATCTTTCCTGTTTCCTGCTAAAGAGTCACAGGCCTGGTGCAGAAAATAATGCAAAGTAGGTGTAAATAACAAGTTTGCTTCCTTAATAAGCATATCTAAAAGAGGTAACATTCTAACGCAGTGGAACCACTGGCCAGGCTGATTGATCTTTAAGGCCATCCTCGGATATCTGCATTTTTTCCCCCTTTTTGTCAAGAACTTTTGCGCTCACTGACCGATGTTATCATTGTAAGATGGTTATGTATAAAAGAGACCCTTTGTCTGTAGACGGGTGCTCAGACCTTATGGGGCTACCCAGGTCTGAGACCTCATGCATGAGTAATAAAGCTTCTCCTGACCCCACCATTCCTGAAGTACTGCTTGTTCTTCCCTTGCCTGGGTAAAAGTCTAGAAATTATTTCTGCATCACGACAACTCCACACCGGTATTGATGGAGGACAAGAATAGAAAAAAAACTGAAAAGGAGGTGCTCCACAAGACAAGAAACCTGGCTAACAAGGAGGTGGAGGTAGAAATTAACAGCCATTGACACAGCTATGGAAACCAAGATACTCAGGCACAGACTACACAGTTGCGAAAACTAGTATCCTTAGGCATGGACTCCTAGATTACAAAACATAACATCCAAGCTGGTATCAAGGGCAGGCACATCCACAATGGAGATTGAGCCCATTGTGGAATCTCCTGTCCCTTTCAGATTCTGCATAGTTATCCAAAATTAACAACCAACTGAAGACTCACAAGGAGTGAGCCCCTCCCAACAGAAGAAGACTGTATCAGTTCAGTGTCTGCACAGGCTGGGGCAGCACTCCATCTGCCCACCTGTGTCTATGCAGGTGCTTGTTTTCACCAACTCTTTCCCTCTGCAGGGCAGCAGCCTCCCGCCTGCCCATGACCTATACTGTGCTGGGGCTTCTCTTCACTGACCTCCCTCCTCGGAGGCTACTCTCCTCAAGGCCGCCCACCTGCAACCATGCAGGCCTCTCTCGGCAAACCTGTCCCTTTTGTGGCAGCTCTTCCTGCCTGCTTGTGTCTATACAAGTTTTCTTTATTCCTCTGTCCCTTTCCCTAATAAACCTGCTCTTTAAATATAACTAATGTCTCTGTCTCATGGAGAAACTCACCAGGGAAACTTGCTGAGCACCACTGAAATGGGAGCTGTGGTGAAACCTTTCCCAGACTGAACCCAAGGACCCCACACTCCAAACCCACTGACTCCAAAAACCACAATATCACTTTCACTTTGCAGTACTGCTCGCTGCTCGTTTATTTCCCACTTAAAAAGACTCATGCAAATGATAGTGGTGGAAGTGCTGATCAATGAAGAACAAAATAGTCATTTGAGAGACCTCTCCTGGCTCAGGTCTACTGGGTAAACAGGCCGCTGGCTGATGACCATGGCAACTGGCATTTCCCACTTGGTTCATGTGAATTAATGGTTCTGCTTGGCATGGAGGTATTTAGTAAGCTCAGGTTACTGTGTCTAATATGGTCACCTGTGTGTGTGGGGGCAATTATACAAAAGAATGCCCATTATACTCACTGAGGCCTGCATAATGCATCTAGTTATGGTAGTGACGAGCCTAGGCTAGGGGATTAGATCTAGTCCTCGTCCCATTTGCCGTACACTAGCTCTGTGATCTCAGGACATCTACTCTCTCTAAACCTCTGACAAAATCATCTGGAAAGCCATGTAGAGGTTCATCAAAA